TGCCTTGTCTACCTGCACTGTTAAGTTCTCTAAGGCAGAGGTTTCCCTTAACTGCATGGCTCTCGTGTCATCTAGTTGATACCGAAGTCTCACTCTGATACTAACATTAGTCATCTCTAGCTACCTCTCAGCTGCCACAGTGGAGGACAATCACAGATACGAGGCCTGGCTGTGCTGTAGACATGACTTGTTTTATTGACGTGTCCATCTATTCTTGGCCCAAGGTGTTCACGCAACGTGCGGTGAGGACCCCTTCCTTCCATACCAAGAGATGGTAGCAGGAAGCGTTCTCCACGACAGCTTACGCAGCCTTAAGAAACATGGGAGATCACGCGTGCCTGTGCCACCTAACGTCACCGCAATGTGAGCAACAATGCCCCAGGCAATTAGGAGATGGGCTTCGCTGAGGCCAATAGGTACCTATATGAACAACTTTAATATCTTTTATTTTCACTAAACGATTGTTTATTGTTGTACACAATCGTTATGATACGGATTCTTAGAATATGGTAACACAGGAACTTCAGCACTGGGAAGTATTAGATAATGTGACTGTACTTGTCCCTCAAACTGAAGTAATACCCCTGACGTGACACTTCACTAGCTTCTCAGGAATTAATCTTGATGTCATTACTCAGCATTCAGCCAGTGTTTCTTCAGGCAAAACTAGCTGCAAAGTCAAATTATAGTAGGAATACTGTATGAGTAAGACTTAAGTAAGGAGTGCGTGATTTAGCCTGGTATCTGTAAGGACACAGGTGCCTTTCCTGATTTTTTTTTTTTTTTAAAGCTCATTCACATTTGCAGAATCCAGTCGTTTGTTCTGGAGTTTCAGGAGCCAGTTCAGTGTGACTGGAGCGGCATTTACTACTTGCACGCCTGCAACGTGCTTATTGTTTCAGACCTAGGTCTAAAAGCTAAATATAACATTACAGATTTGAAAATCATAGGTGCAGATGACACGGCCAGAGATGTTAGCGACAGGAACGTACCTGAGAATACTCAGTTACGCTAATCAGAATGGGAAAGTAAAGACAGAAGGGAAACGGTATCCTCAAGGAAGTAGCGTGTTTTAAATAAAAAGGAGGTTGAAAGTAGACCAAAGGCTCCATGATGGCATAATCAACAGTGAAAGGGTAAAAAGGATGTTTTTGCCTCATGCTTTGGAGATGGAATAAGAACAAGAAAGAAAGGGATATAGGTGATTCAACCCACAGAGTTTTCTTGAGCACTTCGCACCACCGATGCTACGCTTGAATCCTGATGACAACACAGCTATAAGGTTCCTTTAGAAATCACCCCCCCCCCCGCCACTTGGCCAATTTCCGCTGTCTTTTGTGACAAACTCAATAAACCGCACTTTCTCTGCCACGTCTCTTCACCGTCTCGTTTCCCAGAGCCTGATTACATGACTGAATCTTTGGTACAGCATCTCTCGTCACATTTGCAAGCGAGCCAAGGAGAACAGCCGTTACCGACTGGCCCTAAAAATCAACCAAAGCATCCTCCGGCACGTGGCTATATGAGGACGCTTACCAAAATAAGCTGCCAACCAGATGACTTGCGGAAGGGACTACCACAACCTTCCCGGGCGTAGGGGCGGCCGCGGGTGCGCTGTTCGCCCTCTGCCCGGAACAGGCAGGCTAATGACAGTATCGGAAAGGTTTAGCGAACTGTTCCATTGCAGAACAAAATCGAAAAGCGACAGCGAAGTTACTAAGTCAAACGCGCCTTGTGGTGACTTGGAGGTAGTTGGGCGCAGGGGGTTTATCAGCCGGGGGAGGTCCCCCCGGCGTTCCCCCCGGCCCTAGCGGAATTACAGTCGCACGGAGAAGGACACGGCACCAACGTGGCAGGCGCTCACAAACCCACGCAGCAAGTTAACCTTACAGAACCGGGTCGTAATTTGCTACGTGTTCAGAGAC